TAGGTTGAAAGTACATGCTCCCAGTAGTAAGGTGCCGGTGCCAGTCATTGGGGCAGAGGGATTGAGGCATAGAATTTTGAGGGTGTCCCATACAGGGCAGGCAAAGCTATTGTTCCAAGGAGTTCTTCCAGAGAGCACCTGCAGAGCCTACGTGTGGCAGTCCCATGAAAGTGATGTCAGCCTAAACCCTAAACGCCAAGCCCGAAAGCTTAAACCCTAAACCCCCAACCGTGAAAGCTTAAACCCTAAACCCTAAACACGAAAGCTTAAACCTATGAGAGTGATGTTCCCACAGGATGATGCGGCTGTGACCGGCTTTAGCCCTGCTCCTTGTGCGCAGTGCAGATCTGACTCCAAAGGGGTACTGTAGTCTTACTGGTTCTTCCCTCCAGCCTGGTGTAACCGCGCGGTTTTGAGGGGGTTGTAGGAGCTCAANNTTTTGCTGACAGGCGTGGGGTTTCGTGCAGAGGCTATTTTCTGCCCATATTTGCAGTGTTTTGTGGCCCGCATGGCGCCGTGCGTGACCTTTCTGGCATCCATGCCCAAACGATAGTAACGTTCGTGTTCCTAGAGCATACGGTCGCCAGAGCATACATGCCCAAACCATAATAGCGTTCCATGTTTCGAGAGCATCCACTCACCAGAGCATCCATGTCCAAACCATAATAACGTTCGTGTTTCAAGAGCATACGGTCACTAGAGCATCCATGCCCAAGCCATAATAACATTCATGTTTCGAGAGCATCCACTCACCAGAGCATCCTTGCCCGAACCGTAATAAAAATTAACGTTCGTGTTTCAACGGATGCTCACCAGAGCATCCATGTCCAAACCATAATAACGTTCGTGTTTCAAGAGCATACGCTCACCACAGCATCCATGCCCGAACATACAAACATTCGTGTTTCGAGAGCATCCGCTCACCAGAGCATCTCTGCCCGAACCATAATAACGTTCGTGTTTCAAGAGCATACGCTCACAAGAGCATCCATGCCCAAACCATGATGACGTTTGTGTTTCGAGAGCATGTTTGGGCTGTGATCCGAGCCACTACGCAGATTATGAGCATGACAAGCAATGGCTGTTTCAGTGAGCACAAAAAGCGCCGTTTACTGAGAG